GATCAGGGAAGTAGTCACAGGATTAAGAGTAGGAAGACAGTATCTCACAGGGTACATAAGTAGTTACTTCTAAGGCCCTGGAGACTGCAGCCTGTCACCTCTAAGTACTCAAAGCAGCTAATAAGATGGCCACTTTAAGGTCCTGTCTTTTATCCAAATGGGGAGAAAATCTATACCTCATAAAATAAGTGTGTACTGTGTGCAGATGGTTATCTCTTCATCCCTGGTCCTCAATCTTGCCCCCCTCATTGTAAATCATCTTCCACTGTCTCTGGAAGGTCCCAGCAGCAGGGAGCATTCTCAACCCTGGACAGCCCTTCCCACCCCAGCCAAAGGGCTGGAGATTGCTTGTAGTATACACTAACCCACAGAGGTGAGACACTCAGGCAAGTTTCTTCCCTTCTTTGCCCTCAGTTTCCCTGATGTGGGCTGAGGCAGAATGATTCCCAGGGGTCCTTAGGAATGGCTGAAGGTCTTCAAATCTGCACCTTGCAGAGGAGTCCCCAGTTTGTGTGGGGTGAGCATCTCCTTGGAGAAGTCCCGTAGAGGAAAGTTATCTGTCTAATTCTCTCTTCTTCATGCCTTCCCCGCCCCCCTTCCCCTCTCCCTCCTCTCCTCTCTCCCAGCTCCCAATGGGCTTTTTCTTCCATGTGCCTCTAGGGAAGGCAGCTGGCTCCAGAGTCCCAGAAATCTGCAGGAGGAGTTCTATATGCAAGCCTCATTAAAAATTCAAGTGACTTTTCTGCAGGGCCAGGAAACTCTGGAGACCAGCCTCCCCTGAGCTCAGCTTGGTCAAAGGTGATGTTTAGACCTGTGGACTGCTGCAGCTTTTCAGTAAAGATGTCAGAGAAAGCAGCTGTGATTGGGATTGGAGCAGGGGAGTGAACCTGGAGTTTACTTCTTCTGTGGGATCTTCAGAGAGGACACAGTGGGCTTGAGGAAGGGCCTTGCCCAACTTTACAGAGTGAAACTACTTCAGAGCTGTGAGCCAGTCTGAGGTTTAGGGGGTGAGCCCTCTCTAGAAGGAGCGTTGAGGAATGAGCTAAAGGATCCCCAAGGGCCCTGGACACAGAGCTGGGGCTTTGAGGAGCCCCGTTGCACATGAAAGCCCAGTCAGCTTGCAGACAACAGAGATGCTAGGGACACCCTGAGTCCCAGCCTTATCCTTGGTGACTAGAGGATAGAGGATTCAGAACCAGTAACAAAAGAGTTGAAGACTGCACATTCTGATCACTAAACAAGTCCCCAGTCAGGCAGGAATGACCTGAGCTTTGTGGCAGGGCAGATGAGAGGGCAAAGAGGGCCATCCACGGAGACTGTTGACCTGAGAGACAAGGGGCTGGCCTGTGTTACCTCAAGTGGCTTCCTTTCTGTTTCCTGTTGACCCAAGACTGACATCCAGCCTTCTGGCTTCCTAGACCCAGCAGGGGAAGCATCCCTGGATAATTAACTGCTGTGGCTCTTACCAGGCTCCATACATCCCTGACTGACATTCACAGAATTTGGGCTGACTCACTGACTCTCAGCTGTGGAGGATATTGCAGGCTGCAGTCACAGAGCTAGGGAATTGTGTGTGTCCAAAGCCTACACTTTTAATCTCCAGACAGTGGAGAAAAAAACTTGAAGCCCAGAGGAGAGCCCTCCGTCTTCCAGGAGGCAGGAATAGATGGGATATTGACCTCTTATCCCTGATTCAGGCCTTCCCCTCAAGCAAGCCAGTCCCATAGCTGCTTGGTCTCCACCCACTCTCTCTTCGTGGCCATCCCTTCCCCACCCCTTCTGGCTGTGAGAAGCCTGTCCAAACAGGCCTCTCCCACATTCCCTGGCTGTTGTCCAGTCTGCAGGAGCCACAACACCCTTGACTTCAGTGACTGTGAGGCCTGAGCAGAGGCTGCTGAAGGGAGCCACTGAGTGAAGCGTGGACATCCTCTGCTTCCAGATGTTAGGCCTTCTGGAGAACACAACCCTTGTGTACTGGATTGCCGGCACTGCGCTGGCTTTTTTGCTGCTGTTGTGGCTGCTGGCCCTCTGTCTTTTCCACAGATCACAGGAGCATGATGTGGAGAGAAACCGAGTTCGACAAGCCCGGCCTCGGCTCTTCCATGGCCGGCGCCTGGGTCTCCCAGGAGTCATTCGCCATCACCATCACGGTGGCCGCGGAGGTGTTCACCATCAGCACCGCCAGCACCGCCATTCTCCCCATCGTCTCCACCAGCACCACCGCCATCACCACGCTCACGGAGCCCGCCACTGAGGCCTGGCCCTCCCCTCCATCCAGCAGCAAAATGAGTGCACCCTGATGTTTTCATAGAACAGGATGTGTCTCTGCGATGAATAAGGGTACTGGAACCCTGGTCCTGCTTGGGTTTCATTTGTATATGTGGCCCTCTCCCTATGTGCAGCAGAGACCTGTGAGCCACCTGGGTAGCCCTCTGCACAATGTGGGGCTTGAGCTTGGAGCAGGGCTGGCTGGACTTCCTACCTTGTGACTGCAATTCCTGATGACCCTGGAAGTAACAAGGGTGTCTGGCAGAACCAGAGCCCAGTGGATATGGAGTGTTTTTCTGATTGGGGAGGCCCTGTGATGCAATTCCAGAAGCAGACTGTGGTATGGGGCATTCATTGCTGCTTAGCCGTAAGAAATAAAAGCCACCAGAAAGCTTTTTTTGTGAACTGGTTTTTGACTGTAGCACAGTGGGAGGGAGAAAGCCATGAGGGCTGCGTCGTGGGGCCCTGGGAACTCTTCTGGAAGGAGAAGATGAACCTGGGTCTGGAACAGGGAGAAGTAGGTGGTCCCTGCCAAAGCTCTGAGGAAGAATTCAT